GCTTCCGAATTGGGATAACCAAGTACAATACTTGGAAATTGCTTGAATCTCATCACACGATCTGGAAATAATTGAATGGTTCCATTCGAGTGGAATGTTTTTGGAGGCATAATCATAAATGCCACGCGAAGCAACACCATCTAGATTTCTAAAACACGGTAAAAACTTTGAAAGAACAAAAATAAACAAGTTAGCATTTCCAGATAGCTTCAAGTCACCTCATTAGAAGTATTTTTAAACGTCTACAACAATGCAGTCATTCCACATTTTACATTTAAAGGTTCACAGATTTTTCGGATAAAATATTTCTTATCGAAACGGATATTGTCCTCTGACCGAAGCACTTTCGCAATTGGTTCAGTCGTTGGAATTATCTACCTGACCGTGTGAACCCCAGGATATTTCCCTAATGATGTCGATAACTCGGACCTTGCAAGCAACATTATCATCACCCAAGGAAGTAAATAATTCCTTAGGATATAGCAACATCATTCGCGAATAATTCTTGCGCATTAAATCACAGAAGACCATTCTTCCAGTACGTCAAGACAAGCGGACAGCGCTTTCAATTCAAATCAAGCTTTACGAAGTGGAATGACGGAGGAACAAAAATCCAATTTTTTGTGCAGTAGTCGGGACCTGGTTCACCAAAGATGCCATTTCTCCCCACGCATTGATCACTTCCTGGTCATAGATACGCTCTGAAAACCAATTGAAAGCTTGAAAAAACTATATACCCGCAAATGCTTGTTAATGAGTCATGAACGGTTCTCTCACAAACATGAGTTAAAATTAATCACCGTCATAAACAGGGAGCTAAGCTGCGTGCCGGAACTAACGCAGTAACTCGTTGGTTCCCTCTCGCCCAAAGTGTTGCAAGCCTCATCAGACTGGTCAAAGAGTTCGCTTACTTAAGCATCTCCGATTACTCCAGACTAACGGTCGGCTTCCAGCTATTTCTGTGCTTTGCTTTTCTATTTAAAACAAGTAACACCCATCCGGAACCCAAAGATGGATCTTAAGGTTACGACAAATTTCATGGCTTCTTAGGTTACGAGTCACATCGTGTGGGTGCATATTTCTGAACCTTGAAGAAAGTGTCCAAATTCAAGTACCACATTTTTTACGCAAAAATTGCACCGAAAACACGTCGATGAGAGCAAAATATAATTTTCTTTCAGGTTGACAAATTTCATGGCTTCTTTAGCAACGAGTCCCAGAGTTTGGGTGCATATTTCTAGACTTCACACGTGTGCAACGGAAGTGTTCTCATTCGAGTTACACATTCTCTAACGGAAATATTGAACTGACAAAACGCCGAGAAGTGCAATCGTTAATTTTTCTTCGAAGTGAATTAACCCAGCAATTAATAGCATGAATATCACGTCAATTGGCAAACTAATACCTTACGACAGCATCCGGTCTCTTTCTCAGACTAGCACTTCATCCGTAAGTTTTCTGCACTTCGTTCACATCGCACTTCAAACTTGGCTTCAAGAGTAGATAGAAACATGTTCAGAAAATGGACGACATATTCAACAGTTAGATGGGCACTTATTCGAAAACGCCTTAAAAAAAAGGGTTTCGTGCGTCAACTCAAGATTCCATAGTTTTTCGCCATTCACAATTCTAGAATTGGATGTCTTGGATTAGAATAAATAAGATATTGCGGCGAAACTTCAGGGAGTATCAATTCATGGAAAAGTGCGCCTAATTCAGGAAAGCAAGGCTGAGGGAGGACAAGAACTACTGGGCACAAAAAATCAACATTTCAGCCAGGAGGTAAACGGACCAATCTTCAGATCCCAGAATTAAAACGTTGTCCTTTTTTTCTCTCTAAAAATGAAGAAAGCAGGTAAAATGGTGCACACTGCCATGCGATCAATATGCCAGGTGCACCGCTGGTCTATTTCTCAACGCAGAACCGCAAGACGCGAAATTGGGCAACGCGACTTTGTCCAGAACTCATTTAGCATCCTCCATTCGAGCATGGTGACGCCGAATTTCCGCACACCTTCAGCTTGCTCCAGGAACTCAATGGCCATCGAGGTATAGTTTCCACACCCGAGTTTTGCATAAGTTCTTGCGCAAAGAACAAGGAAAACTGTCAACAGACAGCGTGGAAAAATACGCCGAAATGACCTTCGAATTTCGTCAAGTAAACTTTAAAAACAGAGAAGGTGCACCTGGTTCTCCCAGTCGAACACGAAACTTTTACACTTTAAAGAAATAATTTCAGTTACGTCATCTGCTGAGTTCATTGAGGTAACAAAATTTGCTGCACAAGAGAAAAGAAAGGAGAAAACTTGACGTGATTCCCAAAAATCAAGTCCTATACTTCCTCAATTCCCATAATTCGCGACTGCATTTCTTCGAAGTCTGGGGACAAAGAAATTCCGGTCGTCGCACCTGACTTCCGAAGCGTGTAAATTGCCATGAATTGACATTTTCTTAAAGGAAGACGAAAATTTTTGAAAAAAAAAAATTACAAAGGTACAGAAACCTTTCAGAGAAAACACAGGCATCTATTGAATCGAAGTCTTGCTTCGGACCACCGGGAAATTAATGAGCCACACAAAGAGGATTCAGTTCCTCACGGAATCATGAAATAACGAGAAAAAGAGTGGACAAAAATGGAATCGACAATGGAGAGGAGGCTCACCTTCGAGATTGGAAGAAAGCCTTCGCTGACAGGGTCGTTGGCGGCGATGGAACCCGCCCGTCGACGCGTCCGCGCCCGTGACGAGTGGTGGTACCGCGGCAGGCCAGACGTGGCGCCGGTCCGGCGCAACCACGGATGGCGTCCATCCATTTCATCCGAGGTGTCTAGCGTCTCGGAATCATTCTCCGCTCCTCGCAACTTACTCGACAACTCCCTGAAAAACATTCGATCAAAAAATATTGTCAATTTACTCGCGTAATTTGATATCTAAACGCAATCTCTCGTCAACCTGCGCGCAAAAATCACTGGCATGTGCATTCTAGCACCAAAAGAGCAAAGTTAATCTGACCTAAACTTTGTGATAAATTTAATCATGCCCTCAAAAAAGCAAATCCACATCACACACAGCAAGTACAGTACCATAAAACAATCCCGAACTTGATTCACTCATTTGCTCATTTTACTGAGCAAATGCTCTTCTGGCGTGCACGCAATTCAGCACAATCACATAAAAGCTGAACAATTGTTTCAAATGTGTATGTGAATTTCATCTTGCTGCTTTTCTATTTTATTTTGTAGTTATTTGAAAGTCTGTTCAAGATTTAATTCGGAATCATCAGTTGAAACTTGAAACAGACAGAAAATCGGACAAAAATCAGCACGCGTACAAGTACTGCACAGTAGCGATAAACATAACTAATTCAACCGAATCTGACTCACAAAAAACTCGTGACACAGTTTCGATCAGGCTTTATTTGTGCAATTGTCATTTAAAACACTTCCCCTTTCCGAATGTACACGAATCGGCTTAATTGCATTGAACTCTCAGGATCAATTTTCGCAAATGGGCACGATGACCTCGTCTATTTTGGAGGTTCTTTACAAGTCTTTGTCGGACTCATTTATCGAATAGAACTGGGAAAATACAAAAAGACGAACAAAAAAATAAGATTTGTGTCCCTCTTACTTTATTAATATTCTAGCCTTAAAAAAAATGAAGGCCCTCATCAGTACCACAACCTTACATAGAAGCTCCATGAAACAAGCTTCATTAGCTGCACGGGTTCCTCACAAGTACACAAGCAAAATCCCGGACATTCTTGAGTTCTGTTTCGTACATGCACCACGTGTACAGTAGCTAATATACTATTAATCGTGCGCGCAGTTCGGATCCATTCCTCATTAATAATGTTCACCTAACCTTGGACACGACGCGAAGTAGTTGATGTCCACAACCGTAACAGGATGGCATTAATCGCACCACGTTGAAGTGATTTCAAGAGAACAATTGATGACGATATCTCAAGTACACTGACTCATCGGGAAGTCATCGACAGAAAATTTGATTTGAATTGGTTGTGTAAGGATAAAATATACGCCTCCTTTGAGCGACGCCGTAGAAATGGACCAGGTGGAAAACAAGTTCGCAAGGATCAAGATTGTTACACGCATATTTACACACAGACAGATTGCAACATCCCGAATATTTCCGAAGTTTCCGAAAATGATTCGTGGGTAATAGAAATTTGCCATTTGCCAACGGACGCAAAACGAATCACTGAAATTTACAGGGCTATTCCCCAGGTACTTCTACCAAAAACCAACTTTTTCCAACGAGCCTTCCGGCACACAATAAAAAAAAATAAAATCAATACTACGATAATATTGTTGATGATAATAATCTTCGGAATCGAAATTATATTGCGTCGGGATTAACCCGGAAATGACAAGAAAAGTTAAGCAAGAGAGGATCGCTCAATTTATCATCGTGAAATCATCATCATAATCACTGCCGAACAGGTACTTGATGAAAAAAGTTATGATCCATCCATGATCGTGTTCTGAGTTCAGAAATCCGCAAAAGCAGAACCGTCGTTTGACAGAAGTGAAGAAACTTTAATGCTCCACATCTCTAGCTTCAAACGCAATCGTCTCCATTTTCTTCAAAATTTGGAAACAGTTTTTTTCTTGCACAATCGTTAGAAAGAAAATCAGTTCGTCTTTAGACTCTTATCTGACGACTAGACGATGTTTTAAAAAATACAGTGCACTGAGGAACATTGTTGTGATCGCCTATCGTTTATCGAGACCCCAAGAAAAGTTTCCGAATAATTGCATCGCATAAAATTCACATCCCTCAACCATCAAGTGAACAAAAAGCCTTTTTCGCTCCACAAAAATGAAATTTTCTTCTCATCGTCTTTATCTGATGCTTTCGCACGAATAAACAAAAAGGCTCCGGTGACAAGTACGGCACCAAACTTAGAAAATAAAGCGATACCCGATAGGACTTACTGTACATACAATTTTACGGGCGTGCCGCAAAGCCTCTACGCTTGAGCAGAAAATGAAAACCCGTTCGCAAGTAAAGCTCATATGTGGATATCGCGAGTTACCCGATACCCAGCATCTACTGATTAGCATACATTTACTTTCAACACCTGAACTCGACTCAAAATTCCCTGATTACGAACGAAATTTCGAGAAAATGCTTCGAAAGGTTCGGGAGAAACATTAAACTTGGGAGATGATACACATTGTTCGATTGACGGGCGGGTCATGTTTTACAATATGGCGTTTGTTGCAGAAAATTTTCCAGTTCCGTGCTTCCATGGTTGATTAAATAAAGGTGAACGCCAATTTCAAAGTGCGATTGAAAAAAATCTACACGCGTTTTTAAAGCGCCTCATCAAGGTTGAATTGAAGTTGGAGGCGAGAGAACATTTACAACAGCCCAAATTTGCACACTTCACACTTTGAAGGCAGGAAAAGGACTATATATTTTTTAAATAATTGAAAAATAATTCTTTCAGGACAAAATCTCACATCAACGACAAGAAACTCGGATGACCTCGTCTATTTCTGCGTTGATGCACATGGTGGCTTCAAATGCCAGTTTAGGAAAAAAAGTTGCCTCAAGTCAGGCAATGTTTACATCAACAGATAATTCTGAATCGCTGGACAGGGGCTTGCTTTCAGTTGAATCATCGATCCCGAAAAGGCTTGGAGTCTTATGACTCAGGAACTTGAGCACCCAAAGAATTTCAAGGTTCAGTACTGTCGAAACCGTTGAGTCGTCCCTCGCATTTGTTGGTACTGTATTAGAAACCACCTCCAGAATTACAGGAGAGCAAAAATATCTCCGCGAATGCAAAGATTTACGAGCTTTCTTTGCGAAAAAAAAAGGTGAGTACACATACTTGGCCGTGGGATGTAGGCGACGAAATGCAGCCAGGGTCGGGGTTCTGGACCCCAAGGCGCGGGATGCCGGCGACAAAGAGAACCCACGACGAGGAACTGAAGGCGGTCCGATCGTAGGCTGCGAATGGTGTCTGGAGATGCGTGCCGTGGGCGCCGCCGGGGACGCCACGGCGCCTGCCGTGCACAATCCGCCAAGCGACGACAGCAGCTGCTCGCGAAACTCCAGCAGGATATCAACGTCGCGCTGCAGCTCCTGAAGAACAGAACAAAAGTGCAAGGGGCTCATTAGAGATAATGTCAATCAAAATTGGCAACCGCCTCGTTTCATACGCCTCGCCGCCCCTTCATTATCTCACCCAAGGTTGCCTTCGCCTCAGGCCTTTCTTTTCCCCTCAGTGGGATGGCTCTTCACAAAAGTTTTTCCTCGCTTCTCGCGCAAAATAACAACAAACATAAATTTCCGCCGCCGCCATCAACCCAGTTTCACGTTCTCAACGACCGGATATTCCCCTGAAAATCCTCTTTCATTCCTACCGGAGTAAATTTCGGCCAACCCGGCAGAATAGAAAGGATAACAGCCGTCAGAGCAATCGAAGGAACACGCAAAAAACCCACGCAACACCCACATCCGTAGATCCACGTGACGAAAAACTTTGCACGAAACCATGCTTCTGTATAGAAAAACCATCTAAAAAAATCCCAAGTTCTCCAACAGCCGGTCATTTATTCGACTGGCAAACAGAGAAGAAGCCTAAATGATAGCACACTAGACATTTCTCTGACCTATAGAGGCCAATCTTACATCCGTAAGATACTTCGATCGTCCAAGAATCGGCTTCTGTACCGAGTTTACGATTGGAAGCAAGTAAAATATTTCCGCAACTGTTGAAAACGTTTTTTCCACGCGTTTTATCGTGAAATTCGTTGAAATCCGCAATGAAATCCCTTCAGTATCAAGTTGCAAACTTCTGATTCACGCGGGATATAAAATGCGCCATTGTCAGACCACTTTTCTACACAATGAAACAAAATACAAAATCCCATCAAATGCATCTTAAAATATTCGTAATTAATATAAATACCTCTCTTGCATCAGTACCGAAACGACTAGAAAAGTAACCCGGCCCATTGCAAACTTATTCGAGAGAACTCTCAAGCATGAATTGCTCAGAAGAAAATTCACGGGAAACCATTCAATCAGAAAAAAATAGATTTTGCCGAGTCATTGATCTCGAGTCCTGATAGAAATCGAAAAAAAATTGAATCAACCAACCGACGTCTCTAAAAATATCGAATCTCAGCGTAGTTCGCGATAACATGTGAATATTCGACCAGCCACTGTTTCTACGCCATCGCATGTATTTCCACTTCAGATAGTGAAGCCCTTTCGAAGTAAACAACGACCGAATAAACCGGGTTTCACAATAATAGCACCAGACTAAAAAAAAAAAAAAAAAAAAAAACAAAAAAAAAAACTTCAACCGAATAAACCGGGTTTCACAATAATAGCACCAGACTAAAAAAAAAAAAAAAAAACGCAGAATTAAAGACTTCGTCACGTCTTCGAATGCTAATGACGCCTTGCCCAAAGATACGGCGAACAAGAAACACAGGAATATTTAACAGCCATAATCAATAATCCAGCGAAGTTTCCTCTCAAAACATTACGCCGAAAGTTGCCTCATCGAAATACAGTAAAATGTTGCATAAATTCACGTCCTCCCAAAAAGAAACCGTGGAAAGAAGTCATCCGCAATTACTTCTTTCCATGACCCCCTGCTGACTTCGGAAAAGAACATTTCACTGCAATCAACCATCCTCCTACACATAATTTCCGTCATATTCTTGAACACCGCATGAATTCCTAGATTCAATCAGCACAAGAGCATGATCATTTATTCTCCATCAAGTGAATACGATTCAGAAAAAATGAAGCGGGCACAATTTTGAGGCGAATTTAATAGCAGACCAGAACACAAGGACACGGAAGTCACATTTTGAAGCGTCGTGGTGGACATGATTATTAATCACCATTTATTTTCTTTCAATCTCTCCGTCAATTATTTCACTTCAACAGAAAAAGGAATTCGTATACCAACGTGGAACATCTGCGGTAATACTCCACATAAAAGATTTCAAAATCTAGAGCTGCACGTCCATGAAACTTAAAACATTTCACAACTGTTAGCAAGTTGATCAACAACAGATTTCCTCTCGTGATGGAGCAGCTTACAATGGATTTTTCTCAATAGCACAACGTTCAATGGATTGCAGTACACAATATTTTCCTAAATTTCCATGGGTCTTCTAGTTCCGCCAATTCCTGTAACTCACATTTCAAATACCTCAGTTCATTCAGAATTCCCACGCAACTTAAATGTTCGAAATAGCAGGCGTTCGGAATTTTGTGTAATTCATCTTAGTTGATACTGCAGCTCACAGATATTTCGCCGCTTTCCATTGGCAAGTTTAAAAACCCACCTAAACCTTAGGAACATCAGCCACTTGCGCAAAAGAACACATTGGAATCGTACAGGAATTGAACAAGCTTCATCGCGGCCGCCACTGACAAGGAAACATTTTGAAATTTGTACTCAAAAGCTCAGTGAAAAATGAACCAGCGTCGAAAACTATTTTGGAGTAAGAACGATCCAACGCTCGGAAAGGTTGTGAAATTCAAGCAGAAACGCAGCTTTCCGTCTTTCGGCGCGGTGAGAAACTGGTATAATTCGAAGGAATCCATGTCGGCATGCGTGCAGATTCAATCGCTTTCCATTTCATGATACGCATGAGTGATTAAGTTGCACGAAGTCTTCCCACAATCCCCCCGTCCACCGGGAAGAGACAAGAAATCTCGAGCAAATTGTCCTCCCACAACCGCCACCGAAAAGAACGTCATTAGCAGCGTCACTTAACGAGGAAACCTCAAGTCTTGTGATGAATGAACGCGCAGCTCAGCGGCAAGCATCATTCCGTCGACAGCTGCGAATCTCTCGCAAGGATGATCCGTGTGAAAAAAGCGTCAACTTTCACAACGCCCGGCGAAAGCAGTTGCACGGGTTCGGAAACCATTCAAATCTCGGCAAAGGAAGTACTTGCTCCGTGCAATCGATCCCGAAAGAAACCCGTTTTCCCTGGATGCACGCACTCCGTGCAGCACGACTCAAAGGGGCCCCCCTCTGGGTTCGTTGGGCTGTAACATTTTCTCACGACTGTCGGCCCTTGCTGAAAAGGTTACTTGATACACACACATGCTGATCCTCATTTCCTGGGGAAAAACTGTGTCCCCCCATCACGAAAAGAAAAAAAGGAAAGCGGAACGACGCGCCATGTACAAGAGGCAGAAATGCAAGTCATTCAAACTGGGCCGAATTCCTACCGGAAAGTACGATTTCGAAATACGGTCACAATATTTTCGAAATTACAGGCCGAACCGCCCCCTTCCCCTAAAATTTAGTGAGGCCCCGAGATGCGGACAACGCTGGTGCTTGGGTCTTGTCCCCACGTCGTAACATCCCCATGTTGGATCACGTTTTCCCATAGACTTCAATGCAAAGATGATCAATCCGTTCTCCTGTTCATCAAAAGTACCCCAAAAAATTGTGCAAAAGAAAACCACGCAAGATCTGATCTTCGGGTACGAAAATTAACCCAAATATCAAGGAAAAAGCACAAGTCTTCTAATACTTATCCCAGATTATCGAAAGAACTCGGGGGAGAAAAGCCCAAAATCAACGAGTTTTTTATTATTAAGTAGAGTTATACATTGAAATTATCATTATTCACACATAGAAATTTATTTTCATTTTCGTGCATTTCAATATCTCAATGTAATCCTATAGATGTCGCGATTTAGAAAAAAATAATTTTTCTATAAATATTCTAAAATTGCCCGGATCTCGCTATATTGTCCGGAAATCGGGGCAGATTTCTTCTTGAGCGTTAAAAGCCCTCAAGTCGAATCGAGCTCCAGAACATGGTGCGTGCATTCGAGTTCAAGCCACGCCCGAGCCACTTTTCTAAAACTATGGCATATTGTACTCAAGATATCCGAATACAGGCATGCACGGTCAATATTCGATACAGTACAACCAACCATCCATCCATAGCTTTCTGTTTGCACTAATGTATGGTAGCACTAATCAATAGATCAAGAGTGTTGTACATAAGGTAGTGACATGGTGGTGGAAGGTTTGTTTGGGTGGATTTTGTGGCATTAAATCAAGGGTTGGCGATGTAAATTTTTACGCGAGTGGGTCGCGCCTTGATTTTTAGTTTTAAAAAATGTGAATAAGATAAAGCCGAATGGGTTGTACCGAAAGTTGGAGTACTGGGGGAAAATGCGGCCCATATGCGAAAAGGATACTTAATCCTGAACGCGTTTTTCAAGGGAAATTTGGAGCATCAAGCTGGACATGAAAACTGGGAGATTGAAAACATCGCCAGAGAAAAAATAACGGAAGTGATTTGACTCGCTGGAATTAATCAAGAAGGTTAATTCCATGAAAGTCGAAGTACTATTCCCAAGTATAGACCGAACCTGAAATTAAGTACGCTCCACATTCGATTACTGTATATCGATTACAGGCCACACACGAGTTTTCGGGCAACATTTCTGGGGCATAAAGCGTGGCTTTTACTCAAGTGGTTGCGGTATTTGAAAAAAATTCAATTTCAGATTTTTTGAAATACAGTATGTGCGAATTCTTCAGCAAAATGCGTAAATAATTTGGTTACTTATAATCTTGTTTTTTATTGAACCTCTGCTCACAATTCGGATTGGCCTATAATCGACAGAATGAGGTATCAACTGCATGCAGATCAGAAGTGGGAGATGAGCTGACCTACTGTAAAAATTGAATCGAGCTGGAATGTGGGGCATGAAGAATGCTCAACGGCCTGGAACCGGAAGCACGGCATTAGAGAACTCAAACTAGAACCTACAATATGTTTCACCAGTTCGACGAACTTCCTCATCCATCTGAAAAAGGATGAATCCACGAGCTCTGGCAACACTGGCAGTCTTCTGGCATGAAACAAACACGTCACGAAATAATTTTCTAATGAAACCCATCTGTCTCACTCGAAATTCGGAGATAACCGCAGGGGACTAACCATTATATCAGGAAAAACTCACTTTCCATCGAAAATTCGGCGAAAAGAACAAAGAACGAAAGTTTCCTGCCATCGAAATGCACCAGAAGTTGCGAGAAATATTCCGGTTTCTTAAGAAAAAACGAGGCAGCATCTGATCGCTACGGTCGCGAACAGAAAGCCTAGATTCCAGAGAATCTTAGCATCCGTGACGGACAGATCACAATGATCTCGGCTCCAAAAAGAGTTAAATTGGAACACTGAAGACTCCAACCAGGAAGACTGGAAAAGAACTCTAAAATCAATTTCTGGGACATTTTTGGCCCTTTCGAAGCGATGTCAGTATTCAGGATTCTAAGGAACATAGGTACCCTTTTTGGAACTTCGACTGTTAAGAGCGCAGAGGAAGTAAACTTCTGCAGAAAAATTCGAACGTGAGCACGAAACAGTTTTCGTGAGAAATATTTTCCAAGCGTCAGAGACACTAACGAACTTCGGATAGATTAGCAACGCTTTTGCCACAGATGAAATTAACCAAATGGGCCGGAAGATAAATTTGTCACATTTCAATATGAAGATCAAATAATTTTTTATCTCGCTCTATGACGCGCCGTTATGGGACAACATCAACAACAGTATCTCAGAATTTTAAAATGTCAGCTCAGTTTCTGAACGAGATTCCAACGCTACGAAGCTCACTTCAGAAAATTTCGACTAGAAAAGAATATAATTCTTCCAAGAATATCGTTGGGTAATTTCCTGATGCCGCTTTAGGACGCGCCGTTTCGGGACGACCTCAACTATCTGGGTAAGTAAACATGTCAGCTCAGTTCCTGAACAAGATTCCAACGCTACGAAGCTCATTTCAGAAAAGTTTGCTGAGAAAATAATGTAATTTTGCCGAGGATTCCCTTTCTCTCAATCAATTGCATGGGTTCGAAATTCCGCCAAGAAAAAATATTTCCACATGCCGCAGATGATCGAACATTTTGACAAAGCCACATTTTCCAAAATGAACGGGCACTTCCTTTCCTGTCTTTCTTTTCTGGACGAGAGAGGGAAGTGGGAGGGAGAGTCAGCTGCTAGTGGCGTCCATCTGTCGAGCGAGGCCATCATGGCAACTCTCGTTCCCCATCAACTGCAGAAATAGTTCCGGCGAAATGATTCATTTCTTTTTTTCTTCCACGTTTGAGTCCCCATATAGACGTCAGGCTCTGTTTGTCGCGCAAAAATCATTCCAGCGGTGAAGTCGTTTCAGTCGCTCGATAAGGAATAAGAAAACCTGAGATTTCAGTCGCTGGGTGAAGCGAGAAGAATCAAACAAACTGAACCTTCATGGATGTTTACATGTTTTCGGAGTCTTGAATTTTTCACGTTCGAATCTTAAGATTGATGATTTTGTGAAGTGAGATAAAAAATATTACAGTTAAATAATTCAAATCATTTCCTGAACATGGTTTCAAATTCAACTCATCAGGTGAAATAAAAAGGCAGAATTTGAAGTGCACTCCATCAAAGAAAGGAAGATTAACTACGTGTCCTTTTCACGTGCTTCATGAATGAATGTAAGTGCTATAAGATATTTGAAAACACGAAATAACGCACTTGGTTTTAATGCACCACAAGTGGCAACCATAAAATACTGTACATTAAAACTTTCAATAGTGCTATGAGCTTGACAAATTCTTGCGTCAGATACGTGAAGATTGCTTTACAATGTCCACCAGTATATAATAATTTTCCTAAACCCAACTGCTACTGGAAAAAATCCTCAGGGTATAACGGCTTGTTTTGTGCCTAGCTATCAATCTCACAGGTGTTCGGAGGATAAAATCTCAATAAATTCGGGCACCCGAACAGCTTAATATCAAGGTACTGACTAAATTTTTGAACCCCCTCCCCCAAATTATTCGTCTTCAATTTCTTTGTTATTTTAAGAGAAACCCCGCTCACGACTACTGCTCGCATACGGTACACGACTGTATTCTGAAAAAAAGAATTGGCATCTTGGCCTCCTTCCTTTCATCAGCTAATAATGAACAGAAAATGAGTACATCCGAGTACAGAAACCAGAAAGAAAAATACTGTAGATTAGATCAGTTTCGGCAAGATTGAGTCCAAAGCGGCCTGAGGTTCCTGGCCCAACTTCGTGAAAGAACAGCTGCAGCAGTGAATAAATTTGTGGAAATATTAAAAAAAAATCGACGATTTTCAGGCGAACATTTCTCATCGGGCAACGGACTCGAAGGTCACGTAAAAACAATTCGAGTATCCCATTTCAATCATAATTGAACGCGTAACCAGATGGCGACATGAAAATTTCGCGCAATCGTCTCAGAGAGAAATATGCGAGCTGAATTGGGGGGAAAATAATAATAATAAAAACACAGGGGTAGCGCGGAGCCAGGTGGACTGCCCAAATGAGGCACGCGGCAAGCTCACCTGTATAGCAACCATCGATTTCGCCTGCTCGTGAATGAGGCACATCATGGGCTGCAGCTGAGTCGGGTCCTCCTCCTCGTCGCCGGACACAGAGCCGCCATCTTGGGTTCCGTCGGCACCTGCCGTTGCTGTCGCACCCGACTCAGAAACCGGGTCCTCCATCAGGTTTGACGGTGCCCGAACGTCGGAAGTTCCCGCTCAACTCGTCCGCACATCAGACACTCGGCGCCGAGTAACGTTTCGCACACAATTCTCACTTCCGAATATTTCCGGCATCAGGCACACATTCAATTCTGCAACACGGTAAGAATCCGATTAGTCGAATACAGCACAAACGTTTCAACAGCTGTTCAACCTCCCATCACTCATACACTCGCGGAAAAGAGTTCCTTCAAGAAACAATAAACACATAAATCTAACTGATCAAAACAAAAGTGAGATCACTTCTAAACATAGTACTGCACCGAAGAATAAAAAAAAATCCAATAGCTCGTGCCTTTAAAATCAGAACACCGCACCAAGATTTGAATTATGACGAGCAACACATGAAAGTCATGCTTACGGCCATTTCATTTCGCAAAATGCGTTAAAATATTGAGGAGTAAATGGAAATTTATTTTTGATACCCTAGATCTTCGCAAGCTCATGTACCTGGAAACAAATTGAGGGAATCTGAAAAAATGCTATGATTTTCAAGATTTCGGTCACGAAGTACAGTAGTTGAGAGAATTTACTGCATCTTTTATTTAAATTTTATCAGATGTTTGAAAATCTGGTAGAAGACTTTCGTCAGGATAAAGCAAAGTTGAATAGCATTGGACGAAAAAATCTAGCCAGATGTAGGATTCCGATAGACTTGGTGAACAGCATTCAATTTTGAAATGAGACGCCCTGATCGGTATCCTTTTGATGATTTCCCCTTCACGATCATACCAGAAAAGTGCACTTGGGGGAACAAAATTAGCCTACTACAGATATAATTCCGGTGCAAAAAAAAGTTGCACAAGCACATTAACCTCTGGTCCATCAAGACCAAAAGAAAAGTTTCTCACACAGCGAATATAGCAGAAGAGGAAATTTTCGTCGAGTTTGCCAACCTTTAATCTTCTCAAATACGGAAAATGTTCTAAGCTGAGCTGCTTTCGACGGAATGATCAAAGTAGAGACTAGGAAATTCTAATGCTAATCTCACCAACATCAGTGGAGCAACCGAAACCCTCGGTCAGTATCACGCGAACCTAAATTTAAGCTTAAAACGAGGCTAAGGTCTTCACCGAAAATGACCACCTATTGCGCGCAATTGAGAGAAAAAAAATTGCGAAAAGTACGCCTCCAATTCCTAATGGCCAACATGTCTGGGCTCGACCTGCGGAATTATCAGCAGGGGGTAGTAAACACGGGTGTTGGAAAATGGGACACAACAGTTGAGCAACGGAGGGGCAAAGCCGCGGATGACAGACCACCTGGAAACACCAGCTGCAGCTCGGCGTGATGAATTCACGGACTTGATACTCGTCTTATCTAGACGGATGCATTGTGTCTTTTTTTTATTTATTTTTTTACTTTTTTTCCAAATCTGGCATTTGAAAGTTTGGACGAGAATCTCCGATCTAGGCACGGATATGTAAAACAGAAACATCCGGTTCTTTTTCATTCCACTCACACCAGATTCGGTTCAAATTTACTTCAATATAAGACATACTATTTTAAAGCAGAAAAAATTGTTTGAAAAATCTATGGGCGTATTACAGATACGTATAAGCAAAGTGCACGATTGTTTCTTTCCAACACACTTTGGATTTTTGAAATTGTCGAAAATTCTAGATTTCAGTCCCAAGGGCACAAGAATTAAATTTTGAGTTGCATTAAAAAGTCGACGATATTCAGCTGAAGGATTCGGAAATGATGCATTGAAAATACATCCAACGGTCGTTTTTAATCTACCCACTGAAGGTTCAATGCAAATTTACTCAAATACGTGACGCAATATTTTACACCAAAAATAAATTGTTGCAAAAAATCAGTGTGCCTCTTAGATATACCGTATTAGCGAAGTGTACGATTGCTTCTTACGAAAACACTAATTCGTATTTTACGAATCGTCGAAACTTCTGTATTTTAGTCCTGAAGCCGCAAAAATAGAAATTCATCTCGAAGAAGTCAAGTTTTGAGGGGATTCGGCGGAAGGATGAGAAAATGGAACATAGAAATAAGGTCTCATATTCGCAGTTTTGAAATACAGTACTGTAGATATTTTTTAGATACAGACGTAGCGGCACATTTTATGGACCATGGCGCCTTACTTGAAGGAAGAATATAATGTAAAAGCGGCTGTTATATTTTCAGAACTAGCAAAAATCAGTTCCTATTGGCTTTTCAAGTGCTCTAATGACCTTCATCCTTTTACCCTCGCAATCTACATCTACACGGTCCGTTTAACCTCAATTTCAGGGCACAGAAGTACTCACTTCACACTCAAGAGAACGATGATTTCACGCATAGTAAAATTCGCTCCCACCATTTCTCCTTGGTTCAACACGCGAAAACGCCTTTCACAAAGATTATTCAATTTCCAGTCCCTAACAAAAACATTACCGTAATTTACGATGAATGGTCCATCGGTTTTCGGAATAATTAGAATGCAAAACTAAAACGTCACTCATTCATGAAGAACGCTTCCGTCACATTACCTCCACCAGGAAGGAACACGTCAGTGCTGTTGAAATAATTTTCCCAAATTACAACGATTTGTTAATTAGCTATAGTGAATGCATCAGCACACCTGCTCGCGCATGAACTTCCTTTTCGTGCACAAGGAAGACAGTTGCATCTCATATCTGTTCAAAGATAGAACGGTGAATATTTTGTTTAATGTCGGAAATGGACGGATGAATGATGTAGAGATAAACTTCAATCACTTCGAAGAGTGCACGGCGACGTAAAGTACCGTACCCGACACTCAAAAATTATAGACCAGGGATTTTCAAGAGGTTCTTATCATTGTCTCGTCAGACGCTACGCGAAATGGCACTCGTAAAATCGACCACTTCTGGCTAAATCTGCAACTAAGCTCTAATATGCTCTCTTCGTGTTGAGGGCAATACATAAAATGGGTATGCATAAGATACATAATATTATGATATGATCCGTACAAGTGGTACATGAGCATGAAACTGACTTGAAATTGGTACACACACAAGAACAAAAGTTGCGAATCATCCATCGATCGTATCACCAAAGCACGGTTCCATCATCGGTTACGGTAACAAGAATACAACGCTCTCACCTCTCCTTCCAGAACACACAACATTTACTTTCCTTTGAATGCAAACGAGTCGAAGTTATGGCCAATAATCGGTCTGGAAAAACAATAAAGATCGTTGTCGGTCCGCTTTAAGCCACGGGATCGATACTAAAAAAATTGGGAAACGACGAGAGGCGACGAACGAGGAAAATGAGAAGTTTACGCCGGGAAGGAAAAGTTAATTGCCGCAGCGACGTAACACGGGGCCGGGCAGCGAAATTCGAGGGAACATAGGAAATAAAATTCAAGCACACATTACTTAGCTACGAGAGAAAGTGTGACGACAGTGTCTTCGCTCGAGTCGCTGGCTATAAGGCGTGTCTTCATAGCACCAAAACGACCACATGCAAAGGACGAAATGGGATGATGTCTCCTTCCATAGCCACTAGTCGACCGACAGAACAACATCATAATCCTACTGAATGCCGAAACTCTCATAGAATACGCCTTCATATTTTTTAAAAGGGAATTACGATCCGAACACTGAAAACCCTCAAAAAGCTTCTTGGCACCCCGAAAAGTTCTGCATGATTCATCGCTAAAAATTGAATCACTCGAAGTAAATTACTCGTATGCACAGGGGGAACTAATGGCTTCCAAACCACTGTTCTTGATTTAAATACAGTCAGCCCTCGCTTTAGTGCCACACATGCATAGTGCCTCAAATTCCCCTGGAACTCGAGATTTTGTTCTTGGTTGAAACCCTGATTTAGTCCCTCAAAAGAATTCTTGTCCGATGGAAAATGGGCCAAAATCAAAGAAATCAAGACCTTTTCTCCGATTATCATCGGGTTATTTCTGATAATCGCAAACCAATGTGCACACGGAAACTCAGGATAATTTTCAACATTCTATTTCTGAATTTACATAGCTAAAAATATTCCTTGTCGCAAGACACCTTCCTTCATTGAAACTTTTACATTTGAAGCGGGTACTTTCCTTAAAATATCGGTTAATCCTGCATGCTGACACCCGGCATGAACTCAAACAAAACTGCGAGAAAATGTTCTGATCTTTTACTAGACACGATACGTCGAAAAATTTTATTATGCTCTGCCTTATTAAATACAATGCATAACAGTGTAAAAACAATACATTCGAGCGTCAAATTATTTATCGCGACTTTCTCTCGAATAAAGCAGACTCATTAGCCTGACAATTTCGTGAACGAGCTTATTTTGCCAACAGTATACACCCTCAACTAAATACCCTAGATTTAATGCCACCGAATGCTAATGGAAAAATAAAAAAAATAGTAAAAGGTTAATATTCGAAAATATGACTCCGCTTTTCCATTAAGCGTGCAAAATGAAGAAAATTTCAAGAATTTAAAGAAACACTGAAATCATTTTGATTTGCACTACCGCTGTTGCCGAAAAACTTTAAAAAAAACGTCAAGTTCATCCGCAAGGTTCGATCGTTGAAAGCAAAAAGACGTTTTCAGCGACACTGGAGAAGTCACTTGGATACAGCACATCCTCGAACACGTCACCGAAATGAAGGGAAATCAACACGAGTTCGGGAGATGAAATTTGATATAGTTGCCACGCGAAAGAGAATGAATCCGAAAATGTTTCCCTTTCAAAATCTGCCCGAAGACACGATATTTTCTACACAAAACGCACACACAGAAAAAAAAATATTTCACGCGTTAACTCGATTCCGATCACGATTTCCGGAAGCTTTGCGCAGTTCTTCATGCCGGATGATCTGTTTCGAAAGCCTTCCGATCATAGAATGAATTTCATGATCATTCGCCGGAACATAAAAGGCAACTAAAATCACTTCATCGAGACTCCACGGCACGGATCCCGCAATCATGATCACTTCCCAACTCCGGTCTAATTAACGATTTTAGTCGCGAAAAGGATCCAGTTCAAGCTTTCACCACGAGGCTGAAAACAGGATCACATGCACTGTTTTCACGAATATGAAATGTACCGATTAGAAAACGCACAACAATGTTCCAGCCGAATAAACGGAAAATAGAAAAACAGCCTATC